CTGTAATTCTTTTGTAATCTAAGGTATTTTCTATAGGTTTTTTGCTAGCATGTAACTTAGTTATACTCAGCTGTATTCAGTTTTATTGTGGTGTATTCAACTGTATTCATCTATGGTCAGTTGCATTAAACTGTATTAAACAGCTAGCATCAGTTGTATTCAATTGCTATATTCAGTATTATTCAACATATGTATTCATCTGTATTTAGGTATTTTCAATTAAATTCAACAGTTTTAATCCCCTGAATGCATTTGTATTCAACTTTATTAACACCTGTATTCATGTGTATTCATCTAATTTCTGTATGCATTTGTATTCAGCTTTATTAATCAACTGTATTCATCTATAATATATATATTTCAGTTGAATTCAAATGCTTTAATCAGCTATAGTCAGCTGATTTCTATTGCATTTATCTTCAGCTGTATTCAACTTCTAAATTCAGAAGTATTTCTAAACATCAGTATTCATCTATAGTAGATATGTATTTGTCTGTATTCAGCTATATTATTTCTTAGTTCAAGCAATTAAACTCACATCATCTACTAACCTCTTTTGTGTATAGCATATGGACGTCATATTCTACTACTTGAGAAAGAAGGGAAAGTACAATCATCATAGGGACTTCAAGTATACAACTGTTGATTGTATATTCGAGACAAGAATCGCTGAAATATACGACAGGTATGAAGATACAGATAGTGATGCTAATGTAGCCAAACAAGAGGACGTGGTATGTGAGTATATGAGGGGATACAGATTGCATGCTAATGTACCTTGGCATACTGTGGATAATGTCTTGATACCAATCAACTTGAAGGACAAACTACACTGGGTATTGGCTGTTGTCACATTCAAGGAGAGATGTATCAAAGTGTATGACTCGTACAGATCTGCAGGTCATGATGCCTATGTAGTTTCTGAGATTGATAAGCTAGCTAAGCTTCTTCCTCTGTATCTATCAATCAGTGGCTTTTACAGCGATAGTCAAGGCATAGATTGGTCTGCTTATCCAGCATACACTGACAAGTCACATAACGATCCCTTCGAAGTTTTTTTCATTTCAGATCTGCCTCAACAGAAAGCGGGCAGCATGTAAGTATTCAATCATCATTCTTGAATGTTGTATACAAATCTAATTGTATGAATTATTTTTAATTGTTTCAATCAATTATTTTTTAGGGATTGTGGAGTGCATGTTGCAGCATACACAGAGTTTCTGAGCACTATTGGAGAGATTTCAAAAACAACATTTGACTCCACTCTACTCCGTCAAAGATATGGTGCTCTCCTCTGGGACTATGCTATGCGCAAGATAGACGCCGATGCCATAAGCGAGAATGAAGCACCTTCAAAGATTGCTAGGCAATTCACTGAGTCGGAGGCAAAGTTGCAGATAGTTTGAGAATAGCTTTAGGTCATTTTAGTTTTGGAGTGTAGTTTCAAGAAGGATATTGTTTTGAGTAGTATTGGGTGTAGATGCTATTTAGTTTTAAAAACTTATCACTTATACATTTTTGTTCGTGTATGACAATTGCAACTTTTCAATGACAGTTTCACTGGTTTATTCATAAGTATTCCTACTTATCTTCAGTTGTATTCAATTGTATTCAGCTGCATCCATTCAGATATATCTTTCAAGTTCATATAATACATATTACAGAACACAACTTCAGATGTATTAAGCAGGTTGTACGTAGTCATATGTATTCAGGTGTACTCAATTGTATTTAAGTGTATTATTCAATATTACCTAGTTATATTTAAATGTATTATTTAAGTGTATTCAGTTGTATTTGGGTGTATTAAATTTACTATATACTTCATATATATTATTCAGGATACTGTTTTGAGTAGTTTTGGGTGTAGATGCTATTTAGTTTTAAAAACTTATCACTTATACATTTTTGTTCGTGTATGATTGCAACTTTTCAATGACAGTTTTACTGGTTTATTCATAAGTATTCCTGCTTATCTTCAGTTGTATTCAATTGTATTCAGCTGCATCCATTCAGATATATCTTTCAAGTTCATATAATACATATTACAGAACACAACTTCAGATGTATACAACAGGTTGTACATAGTCATATGTATTCAGATGTTCTGAATTGTATTTAAGTGTATTATTCCGTATTAACTAGTTGTATTTAAATGTATTATTCAGATGTATTCAGTTGCATTTTGGTGTATTTAATTTAATATATACTTCATATATATTTATCTGTATACAAATTCTTCAACTAAATGTATTCCAGAAATATTAACGAAAGTCATTTCAATATATATTACTTGACAAAGAGATAGCTGCTAATGTCATCATAAGTATTGACAAATCGTTAACCACCAATACATGTCAGAATAAAACTATTTATTACGTGGAGCATTTCTACACGTTCGCTTGTTATGTCCTCCCTGCCCACATATGCTACATGAATGTTGGTTTTTCGGCTGCAGCAGTTCACTTAAAGTTTTATCGCGCTTCTTCTTTGGCCTTCCAGGAGGTCTTTTCCATTTGGGTGGTAGTACAACCTCCTCTGCTACATGTTCTGGTATATTCCAATTATTTTTGTCCGGTAGCGGGTACACTGGCACATCGTATGTCATTACAATTGTACTTGGTTTGTAGTAGTTAGAGCAATATTCATCCGGCATTAGAAACTTGCTCTTCAATACAGCCCAAGCATGTGGGCATGGCAATTCATCAGTTTGGAACCTCCCACAAACACATTTTCTCTCTAACAGGCAGACTGTGTAATTCCTCCCACCATCGTTAACCGTATGTAAGTATTCATTTGACGGTACCACCTACATTTAAAAATAGAAATATAAGCTTTGAACACATTTAGCTGAATTACCAAATGTATAATGTTGAATTAATAAGTTACATATAACATCATATATATGGACCAGCAAAATGTCATCTGCGAGAAGTGTAGAACGTATCAAAAGTCTGCTGTAGTTTAGGCAAGAGTATGTTAACAAAAGCATTATAATCATACGTATTGACAATACATATAAAATTTACATATCATATAGCTAGTTGCATTCTGATGTATTTCAATAGTTTTTTCAGCATGTAAATTAGTTATATTCAGTTGTATTCATATCAGATCTATGGAAAAATATGCATGTTACGTGCTTGAATGTAGTTGCATTCATATATATTAATGGTAGTTCTACTTAAAAATGATTGTATTCAGTTGTATTCATGCCAGTAATTCAGAAATTAACTAAAAATATATACAACAATGACAGTAAAATTTAACTTACAGTCATACGTGTACACATTCTCTCATTCAACTCCAGCATCTCCTGGTATTTTTTCCCAAGCGTCTTGTATATCTGTGTAGCTTCTTTGCAGTTACTACAATTCCAACGTCCAAACATCTTCCTAACTTCTTCGAGGAAGTCGTATATTGGCAATTCCCTTGCTGAAACTAGTGCGGCATTGATTGACTCAGCAATATTTGACGTCATTGTCCATCCCCTGTTAACAGGTGCATACAACCTAGCCCACTTTTCGTAACCAGCTAACTCTAAGTATTCTTTCACCCTAATATCTACCTTCTCGACCTTCTCCATTAGACTGTCAAATTCAGCTTCTGTGTATGCTTTTGCCATCGAAAAGTATATCTCGCTCAACTTGGCATGGCTCTTTTTGAATTTCTTATATACGTTGTTCCATAGATGTCATATACAAGCGAAATACGGTACATCCGGATACACTCTCGATACAAATTTAATGATACTCTCATTTCTATCTGAAAAGATGCACATGTTTTCCCTTACACCGTATGCTATCTTGAATTGCTCAAAGAACCACGTCCAAGCAGCATCGTTCTCTGAATCAATAACACCATATGCTAGTGGCAATATATGACCTGTAAATACAATTGAATATAATTATTTCTTAATACATGTATTTCAATATTTAAAATATTAACAGATTGTATTATTATTCAGATACTCACCTGCACCATCCAACGTGCTTGCCGAAACGAATGTCCCGGTGTAGTAAGATTTTAGGTGACTTCCATCCACAACAACAATTGGTCTACAATGATCAAACCCCCTTATAAAGGCATACAATGATATATACACGTACATGAATTCATTCTTTGGCGATTTTACCATTCTGATGTGGGAACCTGGATATGTCATATCCATTGTATATAAGTACCCTGGTAATTTTTTGTATGAATCAGCCGGTTCACCTCTAAGAAAATTCATTGCCTTTTCTTTAGCCCTCCACGCCAATATGTAGCTAACATCTACACCTAAATCTGATTTCACATCATCAATAATGTCCCTCGGAGTGTATTTCCTCTTATGGTTTGTAAGCTTTGGCCTTATAATACCACCTATAAGGCTGCTACTAGCCTGCCGCTGCTCGTACACCTTATCCTTCAGCGGACATGTATGGTTGTCATTGAATTCTCTCACCTTGAATAGTTCTGATCTGTTAATGCTTGAAGCCTTAAACCTCCATTCACAATCTTCTGAAATACATAATAATGCATAGCTGCAAAGAATTAATCATTTAACATTTGATTAGCATACTTGTTTACAACAAATACAGCTCATACATAAGACAAATAGAATCTGACATATATACATCCTGAATACATGTTAACAAATTCACAAGTGTATATATAATTTTGTATACAACTGAATTCCAATATAGTTACATGCGTTCAAACACAATGAATACAACTGAATACACTTGTATGAATATGCAAACACTTAATACCACAGTAGATAAAATAAGTAATAATTAGAGCCACTGTTGTGTTTGTACACCATTAAAATACATTTGAATACATGTATTTAAGAACCCTAAACAAATATAAGTTTTCATATGTGTTCATCAGGAGGAAACACACAAATACGCATAAATACAACAAATTTAAACAAAAAACAAACCTGACAGCATTAGACCGATCAACCCGGAATTGAAACCTTTGAGCTATAGCATAATTCTCCATCACCTCTTTCAATGTAGCCTTATCCTTATAAACTTGTCCGGCCATAACCTCCTTTTGATTGGTTTTTGAAATTATCAAATCATTGTGGAGTTCGAACACTCCAATCGCTTCTCCTGAATTGACAAATTCTATAGCCAGTGTATTATCAGTATCGGAATCGTACCTTTGAACTGCTCCGTCTATAAGCTCTTTTTCGATAGTAGTTACGCACAAAGGATACATCCCAAATTCTCTGTTCTCTTTTTTCAATTCTACATACACTCTGTAACCCATATCATTGTGTATTTTCATTGGCGTGCAATTTCCTTCTACTTTGTATTGTATTTTAATGGTCTTTGAGCTCAAATCTATACCCAGTTGATTAGAAATTGAAGCAACTAGATCATTAAAGGAGGCATACTCCTTAATCAGTATTCCCTCAATTGCAAAATCGATATAATTGCCCTTATCGTTCCACTTGCCAGAATGACGTAACAAAACTGTTAAACTTGCCATATGTATAGAGCAACTATACCTTATTTTGTATATAATTTGTATCAATCGAAAAAAGGAGAAGAGAATTGAAGAATTTGGATGCTCTGTTTTTTGCTTCTTTTCACGAAAAAAGGAAGAAGATTATTCTGCATTCTTTGAGCAGATTATTGTGTACTCGTATTATTTCTTTGAGTTAAATTAGGAGACTATCATGTGAATTTATTTCCTTCTGTTTTTAACAAGTTTAACTTCCCAGAATTTGCGCAAAAACATTACTGAATTTTATCTGTATTCAGCTTGAATACAGATACCCATAGCAAAAGTTCCCGTTTTTACGCCTATTTTTTTGGTTGGATTAATGAATACAACAGCTTAAATACATGAAATACATTGTATAAAAACATAAAAGGTATCTATATCAAGTAATATAGCAAAGGGTATCTATAAATGACTAATTAGGGCTAAAAGATGATGCTTTATGAAAAATTCTCTAAATAATATTCTATTTGTGAAAAAAATTAAAACAGTTAATCGAGAAAGTAATCTGTTTTCTGTCTTCCTCTTCGTTCCCCATTGATATTGCATCAAGATAACATTAAAAAAAAGTTGAAGGTAAATTCCTTGTCATTAGCTTGAATTTATCCGTGGATACCAAGACAAACACGTACGACTAATCTACTATACATATTTGAATTTCGGAGAAATATTTAAACCAAAGTCACCTAATTCCCAAATGAATACTTGCTTTTATTCATGAAATTCAAAACTTTAAGTCGTTTATATAATTTATTATCAAAACAATATGTGACAAAGCGTAGAAAACTGGAGGAAAATGAAGATCCTATGAGCTGACTAAACTTAAGTGCTAAACAGTAGTTGCTGATCTTTTGCCCTTTTTTCCTTTCGGAAGTTTATACTGCGTAAAATCGAAAACTTATTCATGAAACCACTAGAGGAGGCGATTCCTGAGTTGTACATAATCATATTAATTTTTGTTATAATTTACGAAATATATTTTATAAACATATGAATATACCTTTCTTTTTTCTTCTTAGATCTCCTTGAATATCATATAAATACAAATTAGTAGTTATAGTTTTATAAAAGCTAATCTAACGAAATAAATCAAACATAAATGTGAAAAGATTGTGTCTAAAAAATGAAGAAGTGAATCAAGTGTTCTTAGCATCAGTTGGTCTAGCGAAGGGCTATATAAACATCGGATCATTATCGCTTTACCTCTAATAAATCTGAGATTAACTCCAATTCTCTTTTGCACTCCTCGCGGTGTTTCCTTCTTTTTTATACAAGTACACTGGAACTGAAAAAATAAGAACTATTTTTAGATCACTAAGATGTATTAAATTGACAAACAATACTCAAATCTTCCGAGAGACTGAAAATTATTTTTGGAACAATAAGACGTATAAGCATTTCTTCAGACTATAGCTATCAAGTTCAACAAACAACATTGCTCAAACCATATCCACTTCCCCTGCGGCTCCATGATTGACACACCATTAGTTGTGGTTAACAGGTTGCTCGGGTTAAGGTTTATGTTTAACTTACAAATCGGACATGACGGATTAGTTGCCAGCCACCGGTCAATGCAGTCGATGTGGAATGCATCACAGCAGATCGGAAGGAGATGGAGCTTGTCGTCCCACTTAAATGGTGAGAGACAAATTGGGCGATAAATTTCAATTAAATTTCCATTGTTGGAACTGATAGTGAGAAGTGAAAGTGAGTTTCCAGTTAAAAAACTGAAGCCGCATAGGGTAGAAGGAGACAGAGCGACGGTGGTGTCGTAGGTGGGGAGAGAAGGGGGTGTAGAGGAAGCGGATGAGAAGGAGGAGGAAGTAAATGGAAATACTGATAACGGTGGCGGAAATGAGAATAATAAGGCCCGGCGGTAACTGTCACACCCCCTTTTACCCCAAAAGATATATGTATATTGTGGATTAAAGGGTTTTTTCAATTAAAGTGAAGATTTCAGATAAGGGTTATTTTATTTACAAAGTCGCCACGTGGAATTGAGTTTTGGTGTTTCAAGTCACCTTATTAAATCCCTAATCAAATGAAGTTGACTCTATTTATTAGTGGTCTGCAAAAAAAGAATAATGGGTGAGGGTGAGGACCAGTGTGTCCATTTCTGAGAACCAGTTCAGCTTCATGCCGGGGCGGTCGACTATGGAAGCCATACACATTGTGAGGAGCTTGGTGGAGGGGTATAGGGAGATGAAGAAGGACTTGCACATAGTGTTCATTGACCTAGAAAAAGCATATGACAAAGTCCCGAGAGAGGTGCCCTGGTGATGCTTGGAGGCTAAAGGGATCCCAGTAGCCTACATTAGGGTGATTAAGGACATGTATGATGAAGCTAAGACTCGGGTTAGGGCAGCTGGAGGAGACTCGGAGCACTTTTCGATTATGATGGGGTTGCAGCAGGGATCAGCTCTTAGTCCATTCCTATTTTCCTTGGCAATGGACGCATTGACGAGACACATTCAAGGTGAGGTGCCCTGGTGATGTTATTTGCCGATGACATAGTTTTAATTGACGAGACGCGGGGTGATGTTAAGAAGAGGCCGGAGGTTTGGAGGAAGACCCTAGAGTCTACGGGTTCCAAGTTGAGTAGGACCAAGACGGAATACTTGGAGTGCAGGTTCAGCAACGGTACCCAGGAAGGGGATATGGAGGTTAGGCTTGATACGTAAGTCATCCCTAAGAGAGGTAGTTTCAAGTATCTTGGATCTATAATACAAGGTAACGGGGAGATTGATGAGGATGTCACGTATCGTGTCAGAGTAGGATTGATAGAAACTAAGCGTCCACCAGACTGTATAGAGAACCAGATTCTCTATCAGTTCCCATTGTATGCAACAGACTGTAAAACCAACCAGTATAGGAAATCAGGTTCTCTAATTTTTCCCACAGTAACTTGGCAGTAAATAAAGAACACAAAGGATTTTTACGTGGAAAAATCCCAACTAAAGGGGACAAAAACCACGACCTACAATTGTAGGCTTTCAACTTCACTAACTTGTAAACACACTATTACAAGCCACTTTGTAATGACTCTATTACAAAGAGTTCAACTCAACTAACTTGTGATACACTTACCACAAGTCACTTTGTCACTCACTAGTTACAAAGACTTTAACTCAACTAACTTGTGATACATTTACCACAAGCCACTTTGTAATAACTCTATTACAAAGACTTAATCACTCACTAACTTGTAACAACACTATTACAAGCCACTTTGTAATAACTCTATTACAAAGACTTCACAACTCGACTAGCTCTAGCCAAGACACAAACACAAGGGTTTATGATTTACAAAGGGTTTCCTACATAATACTTCTAACTAAGCTAAGTAGGAGTTACAAATGAAGAACAAATAACAAAGACTCAACAAACCTAATGACTTAAGATATCTTCAATCTTTGGATCTGGTTCTTGAGGTTGCATCAGCTTTGTTCTTGAGAGAGGTTGTGTCTAGCACTTGAAAGAATATTTTCTTTTATTTTGCAAGTGTTGGGTAGATCAGATCCCTTGCCTCATGTTGATAATATATGTGTGTGATGTCATCAAGGATGATGTAATAAAGTGCCCTTTAGTTTGGTCTTAGCAAGCTACAGTTGTGCTGCTGTACTGTTGCCAGACGGTACAGTGTATCAGCTTTTACAGCTGTAGAGTTGACTGTGCAACGACGAGGGAAATTGATCCCTATCTGGTCCCTCTGCTATTTCCTAATCTAATTTCATTGAGAATCGAACCAGACATCTGACTAGTTATTCTGAATGCAAGGGAACCTAATTGTATCAGATTCCTTATCTTGTTCTCTTATGAAGTAAGTTGTTTTACCTTCCTTGATTGTATTTATACATGTGTGACATCACTTACAATAATGTAAGCAAGGCAGTAAAAAGCCTTCCACGGAAAGTTGACTGCTGCACTGTTCCTGTATAGTAGCATGTGCAGGCAGCAACTTTCCAGCTGGAGAGTTGACTTCATACAGTCTCCTCGGGAACTGGTAGGGACCTGTTCCCTCAGCTGTTCCTTCCACTCTGAAGAGTTGAGTTATATCCTACGCTGGATCCTAACTTGGAACTTTGTGATCTTAAGGTCTTGTAAATGTGTCACAGGTTCCTTATCTGGTTCTGGATGGTAAGTTTGTTAGATCATCAAAACATAAAGTAAAGTACTTATGCCCAAAGTACTTGTAATCTATCAAGGATGAATGAAGTGGAGGCTCGCTTCCGATGTCTTGTGTGACAAGAATGTGCCGCTAAGACTTACAGGTAAGTTATACAAGGTTGTAGTTAGACCGATGATCGCAGCCAACTCCGCGCCACTAAAAAGTAGCGAGAGAGGGTCGCAATAGCTTTTACCCGATTTTGGGTCGGGATCGAATCCACAGAGATCTAGGATTGGAGTTGAGCATCTATTTAGGTTAGGATCGCGTGTGTGTTCTTAATTGGTCTTCTCATAATTTTTGGGTTTTCTTTATATTCTACTATAATTAAACTACTAATTGAAAATGCAACTAGATTACATAAGAGATAATTGCTAAGAGTTGTATCTAATGGATTAAGGGGCACTAGGGTAGTGACTTTCACCTAGGTGGCTAATTGACGGGTAATTGCTTCTAAAGCCTGATTGACTTGATTGGGGAAATATGTTATAACCGTTGCTCAATACTACCCACTCTACACCTCTCGGTAGAAAGAGTGGTTTTGCCCATTTGACTCTCTTGAGACCAATTGGGTATGCATATTTGCCCGAGCAACTAGGGTTCAAGTCGGGTAATTACTCCCTCGAGGTTTAACCCTTTAATTGGGACTGTCAAATCTCTTGAGTCCATCCCAATTCCTTGTTGGGTCAATTTTGGAGACTTAGGCTCTCTTTCTCAAGAAGAGCCAAGTCAACTTAGCACAAACTAGTGTTTGCAACCACTAATTCATAAATTAAACCATAAAATTGACCCAAATAACAAACACCCATAATCAATCTAA